TATTATTAAGTATATATTTATAAGCTCATCTCTAAATAGCTTTCAAATGTATCCCATTATTTTCCCCAGCTAATGAAATAAAACAATTCTCTTTTCATTGGGTTAGGAGCAAACCGTTAATAAGTATTTATGTATATATATTTTGGAAAGTATTTTTGATTTGTGTAGTTTTTCGTTTGGAGTAAGTGTTTCGTATATTTAATTAAATTGTTCTGTATAGAGATATAACATATTGTTAAGTATTGTTATCTTTACAGCGCTTCTATTCGCCTTGAGCAATTCGTCGAGATAAGTACATACATAGATAATCGAAGTAAATCTGTATACATGTATAATCATCGTATATGTATATATTTTCATATATTTAAATATATTTTGTTGTTGTTTGCATTTCGAATACTTTAAGTTGGAAATGAATATGTAAGTTAATTATTGACAACATCAGACTTATAATTACGCACATTGAATATGTTTATATTTATTTGGGGTTTCTCTTTCTTTATAATCGATTTCTCTTGGGGTAGTATTCAAATAAATATTTTAAAAGGATTGAATACAATATTTAATGTACTTCAATATATAATTTGTTCGCATTTTTATTGTCCTTTCATTTATTGTCGGATTTGCTGTATTCTTAATTATTGTCTTTGACGCAGTAAACATTCCATCGGTGTATACGAGTACTAATAATATCTTGATTCATATAGGTATGTGTATATATATGTATATATATATATATATACATATATCGTGCCACAACTTAGGCTAGAACATTGCACTAACTGGGTAGGAATTTCCTTTACTTTATTATCAATAATTATTGTCATATATTTATATATGAATACACATATAAGAAGTAATACAATATGTAGGGAGTTTAGGGTTTGGGAACTAGCGAAAAATAGGAGAAGCTGAGCCTTTTTGTTTCGGGGGTTTCATTAAAATTCAACACTTTCTGCTAAGGTACGGCATTGGCACTAAATTTGTTATTGTTTTTCGTTTTGTTTGTTGTTTTTTTTGTTTTTTTTTTTTTGTTTTTTGTTCAGAGATAATCGATAGTTTCAAGACGATATGATTTAGTTGTGATATTAAACGTTTCCATGCTTTGCACTGGCATCAGTTATCTCATTTATACATAGATAAATAAATTATTTGATTTATATATATATATTGATACAGATACGTATTCGAGTGGCACCGAACTACGGCAAACTTTAAGATACAGATACATTTGCGCTGCGTAGCTGCGTGTGCTGCAGGTGTGTGTGTGACGGTGTTAAAGAACTACTACATCGAAAATACTGCAAACACATTTATATATATATAAATATCTATATATATATATGTAAAATTCTGCATAC